ATTTTTTTTATTACAAATAAAATATATAATAAAATTTTTCAAATGTTTAAAAAGGATTTTTTAGGACTTTTTATGGGACTTAAGTCTAAGATGGAACTGCCAGTTCCGTGGCCATATTGAACTGATTTATATCTCGCATTGGTTCAATTGGCAGCATGTGATGTAAAATTAATTTCTCTATCCATATTAATATTAATATAAGCCAATTTATTCGGCAAGAGGAAAATGTATAAATGCTACATTGGCGTTACGCAATTTTGATGATTATTTAGTTTTTCGTGGATAATGAACAATTTAAATAAATAATTTTATTATAATGAATTGCACCACATCCAGAAGTTTAACAAATAAAAATCAGCATTCAAATGAAGGATCAATATATCCATTTGATTTTAATTTTTTATTTCACCAGTAAAATAACTCCAAAGCAAATTGTAAAATTTCTTTTCCGATAAAAAATATTATAAAAATATATTTACCCACGTAATAACAAAAGTTAAAATTACTTGATTTTGTTTTTTTCAACCAATCCACCATCACCTAATTTAATTCTTAAAAAAATTAAATGTTTTTTGATAATGGTATTAAATATTAAAAATAGTATGTATCCGTTAATTTCACCATTATTATTATTTGTATCATTAATAGAATTTCAAAATGTGTGCTACTATGTTCTAAATTAGGATATACATATTTATTAAATGATTGTTTTATCAGACAATGTAAAAGCTTCTAAATATTATTAGTGGTGATGAATTATACTAAGAAAAAAATAATTTTTTATAAATAGCATCAATTTTATTATGTATTGTAGATCCTCTGATACAGCACTTAAATTATTAACTTTATTAATTGATTTTGATTGGTAAAAATAGAAGAATAACAGTAGAAGAAGTAGTAGTGGAAGTAGTAATGGTAGAGGGAGTAGTAGTAAATTGTTAGATAGTGAATTATTTATATCAGATAAAGGTTTTGATGGTAAAAAATAAAAAACTTATATTGTTTGTTATCATTATCAACTTCTAATCTTTTCATTATTATATTTTTTAATGCAAGCTTCTGACAACCTTCTCCATTTTCTTGATTTATTAACATACTTGACAAGTATTTTCTTATAAATATTGTTATATTATAAATGAAATGTGATGTGATTCTTTTTTATTGGTTTTTTTATTGGGGATTCATGTGCGTTATAGAGTGAATTTATATCTAATAATAAATGATCAGCTTTTAAATGTCACAGGAAGTCGATCGAACAAATTTGGCCCATACGCTAACTTGTCCTAATCATTGTACAAAGCAAGAGGATATATTAAGTAAAATTAATATAAATAAATTGAATGAATGAATGAATGAATATAAATATATCTTTGAACTTTGAATTTTTAATTTTTTATCAAGAAATTTTTTTTCTTGTTTAAAATGGTTTACCAATCTAAACGGCAATTATAATTCTAATTTTTCATTTATTTATTTATTTATTTACAACTATTACAACAACTATCAACACTTCCACTTTCAAAAATATTACAACTTTTTCATATTTATATGTGTGTGCTTTTATTTAGGTTTTTGGAATGTAAAAAAAAATAAAAATATTACAAATTCTAAGACTTACATTTGCAACATTATTTATTATTTCTTTAAAAAAAATTATAATGGGTTGTTGTACATCGAGATTGTTAGATGATGATATTTTGGATTCTTCGGAAGATCCTGTTCCTAGAGGAGGTAAAAAATTTATTTGATTTATGTTAATTGATAATTATAATTGGAAAAATGTGATAATTTTTAATTTTAATTAAAAAAAGAGTGCATTTTAAAGGGAATTGCCGCCAAATTATTACCACTATTACTATTTATTATATTATATTTTTAATGAATTACCTGTGTATAATAATGAATAAAATTTTTTTTTTTTGTAAAGGAAATAAACCATTCACAAAAAAAGGATTATCATGGACTTCAGATTCTCCAATAACTATTAATCAATTAAAGAAACAACGTGATGCATTCTGGGATACTGCTCCTAGTTATGAGGTAATAATTATTTAATGATTATAATCTATATAATAGCATATAATATCATATCAGATATATTTATGTGTAAATTTTTTTTTAGGGCCGATTAGAGATATGGCAAGCTATCCGGTGCGCATGTGAATCAGATGATATTATTCTTTCACAAGCAGTTATTGATACTGCTAATATCACTATACCGACAGGTAATTTGGCTGAAGGATGTTATGATGAACTTGGTAATAGATATGTAATACCAGTTTATTGTTTAGTTGATCCAATAAATATTTTGCATAAGGATGGAGGAGGTGAAGGTTCTTCCTCCTCTTCTTCCTCTTCTGCAGATCGTGGAATAGATGATATGAATTCAAAATTACTTTCAGAACACACAAAAAATAATGAAAAACCTATTAAAATTAGATTATCAAATTCATCAAATGATATAATAGTTAACATAAATCCAAAATTAGATACTATTGCCATATTAAAAGCCAAATTATGTATAAATCAAGGGTTGGATGTTAAGAAGTTTAATGTAAGGATTTTATTTCTTGGACGTTTGTTGGATGATAAATTAAAATTTTCAGATTTAGCAATCAAAGACGGCCAACTACTACAAGGGTTAATTACAGAAAAATGATTATATTGTAGATAGAAAGAATTTAAATTGATTGTAGTATAAATAAGATGTTTGAATTAACGAAAGAAGTAAAATAAATTGATTATTCGAAAAATTTTTTTTTAAAAAAATACACCCTACTATCCATCCAAAAAAATAGTAAATGTCAATCAACCTGTAGCAGACAAGATATATTGCCAGTTTTTTTGTTACCAGATTTTGTTCTGGTAATTAATTATGTACCACAATAGGTTTTACCTTAGTGTTAGCGTTAGTATTATTACGGTATGATATGGTAGGACCTGAGGTCTTTATATAAGTCACACAAAATTTTATACTAAATCCTTTTTGGGGGGCGTGAAGGGTTGGGTTTGCAAGAGTTATACCATACTTGTACGTGTTATTTTTATTTGATCAAGTTTCGGTAAAATGGCGCACACAAAATTTTTATTGAAATTTAAAGTTTTTTACAAAATGTCCAAGACAAGCAAATCTAAAAAGTCAAATCGAAGATAAGGTTCATGTGATTTAAGTCGTGAAGCTTGTGAAAAAAAGATAATTGGAAGAATTTCAAGAAAAAAAATCACCAGGAAAATAAAAATATTATTTTTCTAATTGGAAGAGTACGAGGAGCAGGATAATAGTTATTATATTGAAGAACGAAAAGTTATCAATAAAAATAAAGAATTGAAATCTAAATATAACAACTTGAATTACTTGGTTTTAATAACTCGCCTCGTAAAAAAAATTACCATTACAAATAAATCATGTGCGAACGTGTACAACAATAAAGCTAACAACGGTGTCAGTCTGACATAGCAACCTCCACATCTAATACATTTGTTATCATTATTTTCACGATGATAATAATATTAATAATAGCAATACTAATGGTCATAATAATAGATCGTAGTGGTTATTTTTCGAAATTAAATTAGAGCAATAGTGACAATAATAATTGATTTTCTTTTCACTCTTTCATACCAATGTTATCAATACCTTGTCATCACTGTATAATTTCTGATCACTCTGACAATTAAATCACACTAGTACTAGCTATTTCTTTAAAAAAATATATTTTATTTGTTAAATTGATTTTTTTCTAATGCCTCATTCATATTAATATCTTTTCTTAGTTTACGAATTCTTTATCGTTTGTTTCTAGATAAATAAAAATAAAATAAACAATTATTAACTTGACAGAATAATCAAAATGATTTATAATCTTAATATCTGACAAAGAAAATTAAAATTTTGGAATTAATTTAACGATTAAAATAAAGAGTTGTTGTTCCACCTGTCAATGTTATTATTATAAAAATATAAAATGCATAATTGGCGATTCTTCTACAAATCAGAAAAGTAAATGAGAGAGACGAATAGATTAAATGAATGGTTTTTTTAGCCTGTCAGATTATATGACGTGGGTTCACAAAGTCGTAAGTATAGAACAAAGGTAAAAAATTTGGAAATTTGGAAGGGAATATTAAAAACAATTCGTGAAGCAGCTTTAATTACCAATCTGAAAAAGGAGGTTCGTTTAGCAATTTGTTTTGATAAATTAGTAGATTATAAACATGCTGCAATGTATCTTCGGGTATAGATGTACCATAAACTGGTTTATGAATAATGTTCGTCCTGCAAAGCAAAATATATTTTATATTTAGGATGTATGTGCTTCATTTTAATTAACATGAATAAACTAATAATAACTAGTGAGATTCTCTTTTGCTTTTTTGTTTAATTTAAATGATTCATATTTGCTTATATGCTTCACGATTGTATATAAGTATTAGCATTAGTATACTATACTAACTAGGTTAGGACTCCAGACAATTATATTAGAGGTCGCTCAATTAGTGAGAATGACCATTTTTACCCCTCAAAAGCTCCATATTATGTAATTTTATGTGTAACTAATGCTGATCGTTTCTTAAGATCGAATGTTATGTTCTATAAAAACTAGTAGCTGATAATAATAAAAAATAACATACGGGAAAACAGTACATGAACCGTATATTTTCTTTCAATAATTTTTTTATAGGGCAAGTGATAGGAATACTACATATTGGCCTAATGGTGCAGTTTTCAAAGTTATGGTTTTATTGCAATATATATAAAAGCAATATTATGCATTATTTGTCACCAAGGTTCACAAAACTTGGTCTTAATGATTATTTGAAGCTATTAGCTAAAATTTATTCTTATAAGGTAAAAAATATGTTCTTGAATTTTCAATCTTATTTTTTTTTTTTTTTATAACTATTAATTATTTAAGCTTCTTAAACAGCAAATAACGAAGAATAATCTTCGGATTTTGGGTTTATGTGATCCAGTTGAGGAAAGTGACTTATTAGAAGAATTAAAACAATATAGATCGTGAAAAATCACCACCACCTACAATAGAATACTTTACAGACTTCTGGATGACACCAGTTAAACTGAAACCATCTAATCCAGTACGGCCTAAAAAGGATCAAAAAACAAAAGAACAAGTTTTCTTATTTGTTTATTACTCATACTTTTAAAGTGAATTATTCAAAATACTTTATTTTAAACCATAAAAATCAATATACATAATTAACAAAAATTATTTTCATTTTCTTGCAACTCTAAAAGACCTTCATAACTGTTAAGCAAAAAAGTTTTTTGTTTGCTTTGTTTAATGATGTCTTGAGTCATATGCATAATACTTGTTTTTTAATTATAGAAATATCAATAATGTAATAGAAATTTAGTATTTGAATATTCAAATTTTTTTTCTAACAATTCATATTTTTTTTTAATTAAATTCAAATTTTTCTTCTAACAATTCATTTTTTTTCAAAATTTTTTTTAATTAACTAATGTTTGATGGTTGGTTTATAATCAGAATCTGATTCAAACTTCGTATCCTCCTTGGAATCTGTATAATCATACTCTGATGAGTTGAAGGAGGAGTTGAAGCAGTTGGATTTTTGTGTACAAGAAACTTTATATAATCAAAAGCTTGTAACAATGTAAGTTGCTCTCCAATGTTAAAAGTATCATTTATGTAAAGGATCTTTGCATCTCGTCTCATAAACCATGTCTGGTTGTAAGTAGCCAAAATCCCAAATTGTTATTTGTCAGCAAGATTCTCATTGTTCAATGTAAGAACCCATCTTGTTTTAACTTTAATCACCAAAAGGATTTGAGAGAGATTAATATTCCTGTTTATCTGGCAACATACAAATTCTGGTTCACCAATCATAGATGGAAATGTAATATGGTGAATATATTCCTCTTTCAGTTCATGATGACATCCAGCTAAATTGAGCGATCTGAGTATGTTTATATTCAAGGCCTCATGAACACAATCTTCATCAGATATCCTGTCAAATTTTAGGAACTGTGGTGGTTCATATTTTTTACCTTTAACATCAAGTTTAAATGATGAAACTTTTTTTAAAAAATTCTTACCATTGGTATACTTTGTCTGGATGTTGTGCTGTTGAAGATTTTGTTGTGCAAACACCCTTTTTAAGATGTTGATAAATTTAAAATCTCCTTTATTGTAAGAAGAACTGAAAGTGGAAATTGTGATATTAATTAATGGAAAGGAAACATAAAAAATGGGAAAAATAGTTTCTACAAATGGATAAATAAATAATCTAACATATGCCCAATATCTACCTTCTGGACATTTACATGTCCTCCACTTCCAAATAGAATAAAATTAACAATATATTAAATTGAATATTTTTATAACATTAATCATTATTGAACACTAAATATTGGATTATTGAAATAAATACCTAAATAAATAAAACTTATAAATAAGTAAAATGAGATCACCATTATTTTTTTTATAACTAGAGTGACAACAAGTGGTGACAACCACCATTCTTTTGATAAACACTTGTCCAGCGATTTCTTTGTTGTTTTCTTTATTTTTTCTACGTTTTAATATCTTTTTTTGGTTTGTAAAAAAAAGGGCAAGTTAAAAAATAAGGAATATCCTATATACAGAAAGGTTCTTTTTTTGAAATATACAGTACCCTACCAAAAATGGAAATTTATTATATAAAAAAGGAAATAGTTCAAATTTTTGTAACTTCCTCATGACAGTTATCTATATGTGACGATTAAACTTGTGAGGCTTGGGGTTGCAGGAGTTATGGAATGCCTACCAACTCCAAAATTAAATTCTTATTTATCACATACGTTCTGTATATTTCATAAAAAGAACCTTTCTGTATATAGGAGGATGACCCTTTATTTAAACATTCAGACAATGCAGAATAGACAATAAAATCTTTTCATCTATTAGAATTTTATAAATTTTAAATGCAGTTGAGTGTAAAGTAATCATATTTGTATTATTCAAACTATTCACACTAATTGAAACTTGACTACCAAGATAATAAATGATTTGTTTTGATGACAAATGTGAGAACAATTCATGCTCATCTTTACTTGTTGAATAAATAATATTAATTTGAAGATTAATATATATTTTACAGGAAACATTTAAATAATATCAACATCAGTTATTGGTTCTTTTGTGTAAGTATGATAATTCCCTGTAGTTGAGTGATAATATAGTGCTAGAAATTGAACAAGATGGATTTTAGAATTAATTAGTGCAAAGGCAAATCCTCCTTTAATTGCTGGATATATTGATGAGATATTTGCAATGGTGATAGCTGGTAATAGAAGGAGATGATTACAATTACACCAAAATAAGCTTTGAAGAATATGATCTAATGCATGATGGATTGACTTATCAAGAACACATGACTTTAAATTTTTAGTATTAGTATCAGATGAATGGGACATGCATGCTGCAACAAAACCTGACAAAGTGAATGTTTGCACTACCAAAGATTTCAGGGATCAAAATTGTTTAACAATAACATAATATTAAGAGAGAAAGCTGCTCTTATTTTTTAAAAAGAACACCAATAACAATTTTTTTAATATTTTGTGCTAAAAGGATAATTAAAATTTTAATTATAATAACATTATGAAATCTGTTTCATTTCTTTCATAACAAAGAAATTACTAAGATTGTGATGGTGATGGAGGATCTATATAACAATTCAAATTACTTAAGTTTGGGTTGATCATTTGTAGAGGTGAGATATTTTTTTTTTTTTTTAAAGAACTTGATGCATTAGAAATTATTTGTCCATTTGTTGTTGAGTTCTTGACTTGTATGAACAGAAAATGATTTAATTAGTAAAAAAGATAATTATTCAAATCCAACAGGAATTAAACTTTCATATATAAAAGTAAAAATTAATATAAACCTTCCATGATAATATTTTATATATTGCAACAACACAACTTGAAAAATCATCAACTGTTATTGGAATAATGATTTCAGCAATGCCAAGCACAATAATAGTTTTTCAAAACCTGGGAAGCAACTGATAATTTTAACTTCAATTCTAAAAGAAAATATTGAATTAATAATTAATTATCATGATGTCCAAGAATTTTTCTTAATTTAACAAAGGACTATTTACCATTTGTTTGCACAAGATATGATTCCAATTTATAGATTTCTGACCTTGTATTTGATGGTAATTCTATAAAAGTATTAGTTAACAATACCTTTGCACAATATTCCAATTTTTGTCTGTCTGGTATTATTTTTGATGAAGTTTCAGGTTTTCCTGATTCCATGATCAAAATTCCAGTGCTAAAAGATTTAAGGAGACCTTTTGAATCATGCTTTGGCCCAGACCTTGTTTTCATCTCATTAAGACGTTTAAAGTTTTCATATGATCTAGATTATAACTCACCACTAAAATACATTGAATAAAATCTTGATTTAATATTCAATAATATGCAAAAAACTTTTTTAACTATTACTTACCTTTATCAGGAAATTAATTTAGTGTAAACTTGCATAAATCTTACAACGCCAATGTAATATTGTGTAAATCTTACAGTGCCAATGTAAGTTTTACACTTTTTTATTATTAAACTTACAATTGACACATGCAAATTTTTTTTATATTTTCCGGATGTTGAAATGTTCACATTATCTTTACCTAAAAATCTGTGATTATTAATTGGATCCACATATAAACACCATATTCTTGTTCTGAGAGTGTTTTGTTGAGAACATCATTAAGATATAAATTGTACCTGATTATGATGAATACACACTTTAGTAAAAAAGACTGATTTTTAAATGATACTAATATTATGAGACCAAAAAGATTTACATACATATTGTTTATAAGTGCTGCCCAGATTAAAAATCAAGAATCCCAAATCTCAAATGTACAAATCCCAAATGTAGATCAATCTTTCTGCCCTGCTTTCCTAACCAATAAGCATGTCCTAGGCACTTATTGGTTGGGAGACAGAATGCTACGGGTGTACAAAGCAGTTTGGGGTTTGGGAATTCTTTGGCAGACTGGCCCAAATTCACTTTGTGCATTTGAGATGCCATAATCCCAAATGATTTTGGATTTGGGCAGCATGTATAATGTTGTTAAAAATTGATATGTATATAGAATATCATTGTTTATGTTAGGCTTGTGATGAACAGGGCTATTGTCCAATGCTATTCTTAATTCTTCTAGAATAGTCTATAATGATAATGATGATTTATACATACATAAATGTATCAATTATATTGTCAAATTCTGCATTGTAAAATGAATCAATTACAAAAATACTTACAATATTTTCAAATTTTGTGAGATAATTCTTTACATCTTCATCAACATCCAATTCCAATTTCTGTATCCCATGATGTTTAAATTCATCAAAGTAGATGATATCATTATTTTCATTAGTGAGTTGCTCCTGTATATAACTGATCAAAGAGGTAGGAATATGCTTTGCACAAGAAATATTTTGTAAATTCACAACACCAATCTACAAGGATCTAAAATGAAAAATAAATTAATATTTACTTTGATAATTCAAAGATAGAATAACAATTATTTACAAAATTAGCATTAATCTATACACAATTTTGAATCATCATTTGATTTTTTTATTGGATCCAAAACATCAGTTCCATTCTCTCATAACCATCATTGTCCTTCTAAAGGGCATAGTCTCAAGTTTGTCAGCATTTCTTGAGCTAGATCAGTATTGATATATTTTCTTATTGTCTTTTTTTTGTGATTAGTTTTCCTCTTCCACTCCCTCTTCATTATGTGAATCTGTGGGATGGTAAACAATCAAGTGGACAAAAAGTTGTAATGCAATAAATTTTGTTTCTTGTTGCACATTGATCACGTAAAAGTCATGGGCATGCATTTAGAGGTGGTTTTATATGAATGGGATTTGAAAAGACTGTGCAGTGCATTTATGGAGGGATGCATTTATCTCTTAAGTCCCGAGGTTGGGATAAAAGAAGTAATTGATAAGAACAATTAGAAGATCAACTAACTAATATTGAAAGATCAGAAGACTGAGAAGAAAGATTTATTGACCAAACTGAACAATTACATCAAGTTGAAAAAGACTTAAAAGAAAGCACTTCTAAGTTAGATAGGACAGAAGAAGCCCTCTATCTTAGCATTGAAAAGAAGTTAAAAGAATAAAAAGAATTAGAAAGAGAAATAAAGGTGTTAGAAGAGAAAGATGAAAGTAAGGAAGTTGTTTTACTGAAAGAAACTTACCAAAAAGAAATTAGAGAACTAAAAAAAGAAGTTGAACAAGTAAATTGAAAATATGATTTTATTATGGAAAGAAGTGTAGATTCAAAGGAAAAGATTAAAGAACTAGAAAAAGAATCGGAAGAAAAGGAATTATTGGTTGAATATTTAGAAAATAAAGTTAAGGAAGAAGAAGAAAAGGTTGAATGTCACCTTGAAGCCTTAGAAGTAGCCCAAGAATGAAGTAAAGACAATTAGCTGAAAACTTGGAGAAGTTAGAGAAAGTCAAGAATCAAGAAACACAAGGTATTCTTCTGACCTTACAAGGTAAGGGAATTGAATTGCAAGCAATTCAACAAGAGATGAACCAACAAGCCCAAGAAATTCAGCAATTGAAACAAGAATTATATTTAGCCAACAAGTCATTACCAACATTACCAAAGAAAAAGAAAATATAAGTGAGAAATTCACTTAAAAAAGAAGAACAAATAATTAAAGTAAAACCTAAGCAAGTCAAACCAACTCATACAAATTCTTTTTTTTTAACATCCTTAATGTTTAAAAGATAATATATTCATTATATTATTCTAAAATTAGACAGCAAATTATTTCTCTGCTAATTTTCCCTTCTTTCTGGGTTCTTTGTAGTTTTGTGTTAATGTTCTTTTATGAGATAAATGATACAATCAATAAATAAATACAAATACAGTGTGTAACAAAAACAACCGGAAATTTTTTCTGGGAGGCATTCATTTATGGATGCTAATTGATTAAATTTTTGTAATTGATAATCGAAATCGTTTGGCCCACACAATTAGAGACAATCTTTCCAAAATTTTCACAACGTTGTGCCTAATAATAAAATTTTTAGGTCCTTTACTATAAGATTTTTTGACCCATCTATAGAGTGGATGACAGACAGCAAAAGCCATCAAAGTGACACGAAGGGTATTAAAGGAGGCGGCAAATTTTGAGTTTTAAAATTTATCACGCATAAATTTGTGATACGAGCGAACTAAATGTTTTAGCCAATAAAATTTAATGGGTTAGATGCGACTATATCACGTGAAAGTATTTTCGCCCAATGAAATAGAGAAATTAGTAAAATTTTATTTTACTATACTATAACAGGCGGAAAATTTGATAAGATATTACAAAAATAGTGAAGTTTTAAACCCTTGTAACATTTGCCAGTAAGTTCAAATAAAAAATCTGGTCGCAACAAATTATTCCCTGACTTCTAATAAATCATTTGGTAAATTATTTTTTAAAAATGATCACTGAGGATTTTAGTAAGCCAATAATAGTTGATGGCTTTTTATTGTTGTCTACTGTATTAACATATACTGTGTATCAACTGAAGATTAATTGAAAATTTATATTATGTTGTCATATAATTTATGTGACTCATTAATGATTTAAAAAGAGTAAAAGGAAAGAAAGAAAAAAAAAATCTATATGTTAGTTGAAAATGCAAATAACATAACAACAAATTGATGTTATGCTTATACATGAAGTCGAAATTAAAACCCCAAAGTCGAAATGTTTTGACTTGAGGAAACTACATAGTAAAAATCAGTTTCGACCTTATTTTGACCCTATTTCGACCAGATCTGCAAATGGTCGAAATAGTTTCAACTTCATGTATAGTTATGCTATGAACACAAAAGGAAATGAAGAAATGCGCAGATTTTTTCTTGAATGCAAAATATAGGTAGATAATTAAATAGATTTTATTTAATAATAGAATAAAAGCAGATTTGGTGAAGTTTATAACAAAGGATATGGACACAATTTCAGGACAGATCAATTGATATGTGTTAACCCAGCCAGTGTATATTAATTCATAATCCAGTAAATTTTAATAAAAGTGCATTCCAATTATGTAAGTAATTCAATGTTAATAATGAGTTTTATTTGACATCAAAAAAGTTTGGGCTGTATGTATAATTTCAATACTGAAAAACTACTCTTTTACAAGAAGTTTCCTATGTATCCTGTGTGGGATTTTTTCATACTGCAAAAATCTTTTTATTTATAATTAAGTGAAAAAAAGATCCTACAGTCTTTATTTCTATTTATTTTTAGGTAAATAATGTACAATTATACATAATAACAAAAAAATAATTAACTCACTATTTTTTTAAAAAAAAACCAATGATTAATCTAGCTAGATTCTGAAAAAAAAAAACAATATATATAAATAAATAAATAAAAAAAAATAATGTCCCGCATAAGTGATGATGCAACAGAAAATTAATTCTGGTTTACAATATCTGACATGCTCAAACAAGGTATTGTTGGGTCAGCACAAAAGTCTCCAAAAACTTTCACCCATAATGGCCTTGAATTACTAAGTATAACCAGCGAAAGTAGCATAAATGCTACAAATGCACCAGAAATACAAAAGTAAAAATTAACAAAGGTCCGGATATTTTTGCCACGTATTCTCATTATATTGAAAAATAGTGACACTAAATTATTAAATGTCCATACCACACACAACACGGTTAAAAATCTACTCCGGCATCTATATCCAACTGGAGTAGTGAAATAAGCCAAAATTACTGCTAGCCATGGAACTGCAATTGAGAATAAACCAGTCTCAATAACGTTAAGTCTTTTATCCTTTGGAGAATTGCTTATTATTATTAGCCCAGAAATCCTCTTATTCGGATTGTGGACCACCACTATTCCTCCTATAGCTCTCCTAAAAACAGCCGGCAAAGTCCAAGCCAATATTAGTGGTATATATGGCCATTCCTCTTTGATACATGGTCCGATTGCCCTGACTATTCCCGCAAGTATCCCCACTATTAAGTAGTAAATGGATACCATATAGCTGAGGCGATCTAATATTGATGCCTCAGCTACACACCCTTTCATAAGTTCTTTCTGTTCCGTGGTGAGATCCATTCGTTTAGCATCCCATCCAAAAAGCCTATAGTTGAGTATTGTAACACCACCATCATTATATATCGCTCTATTATCATTATCTTCAACAAAGCGATTAAATTCCAGCCAATATGCGCTCATAATGACCGCATCGTTCTTTACATTACAATAGTAAAAGAGCCCCTCTAGAGGGGCCCCTAAACACAGAAATATCCATCGAAATTTTTCCCTAAAACCACTCACTGGCGTGGCCCCTAAGATCGCTATAGCAGATAAGGAACCTAAAGCATATTGAGGTATAGATACCAGTAATGAATGTACAAATTTAATTGCTTGTATAGTAAACTCCTCTGATATTAACATTTCTATACCAAAAAAAAAACAAAAAAAACAAAAAAAACAAAAAATCAGCCTTCAAATATCAAAATTATTTTATAAATGTAAGTTGGATTACATACTTTTATTTCAATTTTTATGATATTATAACCAACGAAAATAAAATGTTTAGCATCCAAACAAATAAAAGTCGTTAAACGATATAATTACAAAAACTTTTAAACTTAAAAACGCTTATATAACCTAGGGTTTATTATTCGTATCAAATAAATAATCAATTTGAGTTATTCGAATTACATATTTGGAAGCTAGAAATAAAATCGTCAATTTTACTTGAATGAATCTTTATTTATATTTTCATTTGTATAAAATCTTTTTATTAAAAACTATTCGAATAGAGTGAACGATTATAAATTTCTTATTTGAAACATGAAGTGAATAATTAGAATTAAGAGTGGTATGCATTGAAACCGTGTTTTAACATAATATTGTAGTATTTGCATAGAAATGATGTAATATGCTCAAAATTTGATTGGTGGTTCATTATTTAATATTAATATGGAAGCGCAGATGTACGGAATACGGGACCTGTGTAATTCATATGTTTATTTGGCGCACCAACTTTCTAAAAGAAAAGAATTCATTTTGGCACGAAATATTTAATTCGCAGATCAGGGTGTCTATTTGCATAATAATAATGAATTTCTACAAGTATGCATCATATTCACATTATCACGTAGGTGCTTAATATACATGATTGATAACTTGAATTTTATTACATTTATGATTTTTAATAATGAAAAAACTCATTTAAACAATGAACAACGTTATCAAATCTGTTTAAAAAAGCAGCAACCAAGGACTGTTCAGATGAGATTAAAAAGCTAGATAATATAAATAATACTATGAAAAAGATTTATTATTCTATGATACAGGCCACTATTAATTGTTTTTTTAAATAATCTTTTCCTAAATAATAATTATATTGGAATTTAGAATCTGGATCATTTTTATGCATATACAAATTTACGCTATGCAAATAGCTCATAAGTCCCACTATTGGATCAATCTATGTTTATGCCAGATTATGCAAACATACGGTATGCAAATAGACAGGGAAGGCACAAATTAATTGATTAATCATTCTAAATCTGGTTAAGTTACAGGTTTAAAAATAAGTTTTCAACAAGACCTTCAACATTATGTAATGGTGTTTAAAAAATTGATTGACAAATATATTTTTGCGTTCACTACAGTCAAACCTCGATAAACCACTATAAACCGATTTTTGCTTTATAACAATTAATCGAAACATATTTAATAAAAATTTTATTATAATTTCTACTTTTCTTGATAAACCGAACTTGAATGGTTCGTACAAAATAATAAAAATGTAACTTTCTAAGCCGAATATGATCATAAACTGGTTTTAAAAAATTCGTCTTATAATGATAAATTTGGCTTAATAATGTCGATCACCCAAATTCTACTTTCTATAAAATTTCTACTTTAACCATGTCATGTTCTAATAAAATAAAATAGCACGAAAAATTACCAAAATTTAGAATTTTTGAATAATATTGAAGTTGATACTGATCAAGAGAATTGTGAAGTTCAAGATTTAATCAACTAACTCCCATTTGATGATTCACTTTTAGTGGACTATTGAGAATAACATGGTTGCTGGTGAATTAGTAATGGAAGACGAGGATATTATTGCATTAATTCTACCAACAGAAATATATGAGCAATAGGATGAAACCTTTATTCCAGATATTTTTATTACAGATATCATTTAATGAAGTTTATTAAATTTTTTAGTATACCCTCTAAGTGATTTCGATGTATGCGAAGATGAATTAAAGTGCATTTGAAAAAATTAAGTCATAATATTAATAGTTCAGCCTTTAGATAAATATTTTTGTTTGTAAAATTTATATTTATAATGTTATAAGCCTATTTTTTGTGATTCCAAAAGTTCGGTTTATCGAGGGCTGACTTATTTTTATTGGCCGTGTGGATTCTTTAATCCTCCAAAAATGGTAAGACCTTTTTCTCTATATACTGTATTTCATTTAAGCACACATTTATACTATATAGTTCTTTTTATTTTTTTACAATAGCAGTTTTTTTATGGCAGCGTAACAATCAATTAAATACACTATTATATAACAGCCTTTTTCTATAATAGTTTCACTGAGAATTTGGGCCTAATTAAAATATGTCTCACAGCAAAAACAGAAGGGCCATTATAAAGAGAGTGAGTATGCATGATCGCTTTCTCGACTCCAAAGTCACATGACCGAGAGATTTTTTATTGCAAAAAAATTCAGCGACTATATAAAAAAATTTTTTTTTGACTATCATCAGGAAAATAAATCTCATGTAAACCTACGTAGGGTTTAAAACTGACCAGCATTATGCGGAAATGTTAACAGAATTACCAAAATATCGACATAATGCTGGCCAATTCTGAACCCTACGTAGGTTTATGTAAGATTTATTTTCCTGATGATGTTGTAGAATTCTATTACGGTGAAAAAATCTCGATTTGGTGTTTCTATTCGAATGAAACGAATGAAAAGAATAATTTGAATAACGAATAAATTTTTATTCGAATGATTGATTGGAATTAAGATTGAGTTGTATTACGAAGGAAACTCTAGATTCCATAATTCATATTAATATCTAAATTTGGATGATTTAATTGAACGCGCTCGTGTAATCTTTTCTTTTGAATATTTTCATTTCCACATTAAATGTTTTTGATTACAACTTGATGTAATGGTAAATAATGACAATTCTTTAGATGAACAATTTATGACTCTGAAATAATAATCGGTTCAGAAGATGAATCTGTATTTATCATCTGGCAATGAATTAAATGAAGAAGTTTAGTATGCCAATAATTTTGAGAATTATTGTGGTTTTGATTTTACAGTGAGGAATGTGGTAGAAATAGGTTGATCACTTGAATAATTGAACGCAATTAAAATTTGGGGATTGAATTCATTTATACGTATTAATATACATAGCGGCAGTGTTGGAAATTCGGTGTGAGAAATGGGGGGGTGTAGGATAGTTTCTAAATTTATACTAGTTGCATGATGAAATTTCAACGCGCTGTATATATAAGGAGCATTGTTGCGATTAAAAACAGAATTTTGTGAGCTCTAAATAATTAATTACTCTATATTTTTAATATTAAGTTGCAAATTTTATTTTTTTACTAATTTATACACTTCATATTCTTCCAACAAATAAACTATTTTACTACTATTATTAAGATTTAAATCATTTTCATATGCATCAAATAAATTTCCAATAAAATAATAATAACAATAAGGTTCATTATTAATGCTATTATATAATACTAAGTCAATAAAATTTATGGATATTTCATGAAATTTTATATTGTTAATAGTTTCATTAACAGTTTGTGAATTATGATACAATGCACCACCAGGCACTCTAACTCTACTTAATATCGAATTTTTTATTTGATTTCCATCTATTTTAAAAATAAAACCATTGTTTCCTTCAATCCAATATTCTTCATCTGGAGATTTTTCTTTGATATTCCAACCAACTGAATTATAGCCACCAATTAATTCTCCAGTTTCTTTAATTTTCATGATGGTTACAGTTTGCTTAATATCATAACATTTATGCATAAAGACTGTTCTTGAAAATCCATCTTTAGTCCCTTGAAGAATCAATTCAAAATCATAAGTTGGATTATTTTCATTATAGGTATTTTGATTTTGACCATCATCAATCCAACTAGAAATTAAAGATTTCATTTTAAATTTTAATAAATTTTTTTTTACTGTTCTCGGACCTTTTGGTGGTAATAATTTTGGTTGACTTTTATTAGCAACATAATATTGAAGAAGCTCTTCATAGATCACTTTATTGAAAACTTTTTCAAGAGGTCTGATTTTTTCATTAAAATCATTTGAAGCAATTTGATTAAATCTTATGAGTGGAATGATATCATCCAATATATTTTTCAATTCAATAAAATCATTTTCATGCCACTCTGAAATTGTTTTTCCTTCCAAATCATTTTCAATTTGCCCAATTCCCCATTGAATGACATAATCCCAAATATCTGTTTCTTTTATTATTAAATCATCTTTTTCCAATAAAAAAATAAGCATAGATTTTTCAATATCTTTAAAATCTTCAGACTCTAGAAATAACTCTGGACTATCATGAATTATTTCCTTAAAATAATCTTGAAGCATTATAAATGATTGATGTTCTAATGAAAATTTATAAAGATGCATTAAATTCTTTTTTACCCATTCTTTCTTTTTGATAAATAAATACTCTTGCAAATCATCAAATAATTCATTAAAGGATAATTCATCACAAGCTTCAAGTAGTTCTAAAATTTCATCTGGATCTAGATCATCTGTATTAATGATCCCATTATAAATATATCTTTTGAACAAAATTATACTTTTAGATATTTTATTCAAAAAAATAAACAATTAATTAATCAATTAATCCATCCTTACGTTATTAGAATTTCAAATATTTTTGGAGAAATGTTTTCCTTTTCGAATAAAATAATACCATATTCAGACTTCTTTACCCAATTTTTTGATAATGCTGTTTTAAAATATGAAGACCTTGCTTTCAAGATTGTAGAATGAACCTTAAAAATTTTGGAATCTTCACCCATTCCAACTTTAATTTCCACATCATGAAAATCAGATTCATTTAATAGATTTGACAAATCATTAATAATCTTGCTGATGTGTTTTAATGGTAAAGCATCCTTATTTAAATTGATAAGGTTGATAATAAATACATTAAAGTTTGCTAGTGATGAAAAGCTGCTAGACATTTTCAACTATGTTTCTCTGATATTTTTCACGGTTTCTTTTTTTATTAAGATGTTGATTGACCACTTAATTATTTATTATTATCATCATCATAATTTATTTATTGTTCATAGTCATTTCATTGTTTCGATTAAATTGGTGCAACAGAAATTGTCTATTTTGGATGTGATC